TTATTCAAAGGTAGAGGATCACACCTATTCAGATGTTTGTCACCACACCACCCTCTTCCACACTTTACTCTCCACCCTCCCCCTCTGGTAGCCTTAACTTTACAGATTTCTAGGATTTGGTTTAGTTTTGTCTAGCCCTTTGTTTTGTTTCTTTACATTCCACTGATAAGTGAAACCATGTGATATTTGTCTTTTTCCTTCTGACTTACTTCACTCAGCATTATCTCCTGCAGTTCCGTAGGTTGTCACAAATAAGAACTCATCCTTTTTAAACTGCTGTGTAGCATTCCATCATGTATATATATCATATCCTCTTTTTTTTTACTTAATTTTTTCATTTTTTTAATTTTATATAGTTTATACATCATTTTTCATTTTTGCACAATGTATGCATTTTTACCTTAGTTATAGTCCCCACCCCCCTTGTTTTGATCCTACTCCCTCTCCACCCACCCCACCCCATAGTATGTCTCTGGTTTATAGTTGCTTGTTGATTTTGATTTTTACTTTATTATAATTAGGGTTTTTTCCTGGTCTCTTATTTAGGTTTTCTAAATTCCTGCTATGAGTGAGACCTCCCGGTATTTTTTTCTTTCTGGCTTATTTCGCTGAGCATGATCCCTTCCAGCGCCATCCATATTGCTGCAAATTGCATGTGTTTATCTTTTTTGAATGCTGAGTAATATTCCATGGTATATATGTACCACATCTTCTTGATCCAGTCATCTATTTTTGGGCATTTGGGTTGTTTCCATAGCTTAGCTATTGTAAATTGTGCTACTGTTATAGAGCAACCACTGCCTTTTCCCCCTAACACTACTATAAACATAGGGCTGCAGTTGCCCTTTCAAATTAATATTTCTGTGTCCTTTGGGTAAATACCTAGGAGTGGAATTGCTGGATCATATGAAAGCTCCATCTTTAGCAGTATAGCATATCCTCTTAATTAACTCACCTATACTTGGGTACGTGGCTGGTTTCCACAACTGATTGTTGTAAATAGCACTGCGATGAACATAGTGTGTATATCCCTTCTAATTAGTGTTTTTGCATTGTTTGGGTGGATACTTAGGAATAAAATACCTTAATTATAAGGTAGATCTATTTTTAATACTTTGAGAAACCTCCATACTGGTTTCAGTAAGGGCTGAAGCAGTCTACACTCCCACAAATACAAAGGCTCCTTTTTCTCCACATCCTTGCAACACTTGTCTTTTCTGATCTTTTTGATATGAGTCATTCTCAAGTGTGAACTAGAATCTCATTGTGGTTTTGATTTTCTTTTCCCTGATAAGTGATGAGCATAATATTTCATTTGCCTGTTGACCATATTTATGTATTCTTTGGAGAAATGTCTCTTTAGCTCTTCTGCCCTTTTTTAAATATTTATTTATGCATACAAGAACTGGGGTGTGGGCCAGAGGTGTGGGGTGTAAGAGGATTCACCAGAGAGAGTGGGGAGCAGAACAGGCATATCTACTAAAATACACTGCTGAGGTGAGCAGTGGGCGAGACAGGAGAGGTCTGCTGTGTCATGGGGTTAATCCCTGGGCGGGGTGGGGGTGGGGGGGGTGTTCCATCTCTTACTGCAGTGGCTGGGATAGCTTGATGGCGCTGTGTCTTTAACCCTTGCACCAGCAGGCAAGGCAAGCCCTGGGTTGTCTTCTTTTTGTTGAGTTATATTAAGTTCTTTATAGATTTTAGCCATCAGCCCCTTGACAGATGTGTAAACACAAGTATTTCCCCCCATTCGGTAGGCTCTCTTTTTGTCTTACTCTTAGGGTTACTATGTGAACTTCTACTTCCCATCTCTATCTACTGAAACCCTAATCATGCTTCAAGCCACAAATCACATAAATGCTATTTAACCAGCAAGCTTTGATTGGTTACAAACCCAACATCGTCTGCCCACCTTTATTTCCACCCATAATTTGGTCTTTCTATCACACTTTACTACCATACATTTTTACCTTTATCTTTTTTTTTTTTTTTTTGTGGGACCCTCGCCAGCGGCCGGGGAACGAACCGGTGCTGCGGAGGCTTCGGGCAGCCTCGCAGCCCAGTGCTCAACTGCTGCACCACTAGGGGAGGCCCACATTTTTATCTTTTTTTATTATTCATTTCTTAAGAGCCAGGAATTGTCTTTTTCATAATATTTCAAAGTGTTTAATTTCTTTGCATACATAAAGCACAATTTGTTCGAATGGCACAACTTACAAATTGGTTGATACTGACTCTAGATTATCACATGTACATCCTGAATAAGAACATGATTACTTGCTATCATGAAAATTTAATGTGCAATATCGTTTCATGCAGTCTTACCGATATACCTTCATACCAAAAAGAATTACTTTCTGAAAGAAAAAATGTTTTCTTCTTGTCCGGGTCAGAATTATGTAGAAGAAATGAGTTTTTTGTACACTAAATTAAAATGTTATATAAGAATTTAAAAAAGAACATTATGAAGGAAAAAAATTTTCCCATGAATATTTTTGTATAAGACTATATCCAAATCAGACTATGTCTAAATCAGCCTATGGATATAAATAAGACCTCATTAGTAAGTCCCACTAGCTGACATTAGCTTGACAAAAACCATCTGCAGAAATGCAGAACTTTAACCACATTTATCGATTCTATTCTCCATCTCTTTTGGAAGGGTCTCAAGGAAAGTCATACTATTATCAGAAATCAGTCCAGTCCACATCTCACAATTCTGTCATTAACACTGCCATCAAAGGTATATTTCCATAACTCCACTATAAAATAAAAAAGGTCTTTATTCTCTATTGGCAGTTAGTACTTGGGATATAGCCTCTGTCTCTTAGACACACATTAAAGTCAGCACTGGGACCTAAAACCATTCAGCTTCAGGCTCTGGTGAATCTTCAGTTTATCTTCTTTCCCTCAGGGTGCTTTACACCCCAGGTCACAACAGTCCCATGTGATCTGGATTGTCATGTCTTTCTATTCTACCTGTGTGCACATGTCTAAATATGAATCACTAACATTGTCCTGTGTTCTCTAAGAAACTCAAAAGTCCCCATTTAAATCAGCTAAGGATGACTGAAATAAGGGTTGGAGAGGACATTCCAGTCTTTATATGCCCATACACAGTACCTGCTGTCACAGGCTAGCAGGCCAGATTACCTGGACTCAAATCCCACCTCATATTTACTAGCTTTGTGATACTGGGGCACATTACTTTGCCTCTTTGTCCCTTAATTTCTGATAACCCCTTAACCAAAAATCCTTCAGTGCAGATGTGTTACAGAGTTCAGAAAATTTTCTAGAAAGGCAACACAGCATATATTACATAACATATAAAACACCCTGAGCAGAGTTTTGGTCAGTACATCATAATCATATGCTTTAATACTTCTGCACCAAACCATGAATATTTGCTAATACTAGTTAGGACAAAAAGAGCTTTACATAAGTTCTGGTCATATTATACCATCAAATGCAGTTATCACAAACAAATCAAAAACTTTTGGTTTGAGGTTTGAGACTTGCAGATAAGAGATATGTACATAGGATAAGAATTTTTTTTTTTTTAAGATTTATTTATACAAGAACTGGGGTACAGTCAGAGGAGTGGGAGGGTGAGAGAATTCACCAGAGACAGAGCAGGGAGCAGAGCAGGGAGATGGACTGAAGACACTGCTGAGGGGAACAGGGGGCAAGGCAGGAGAGGTCTGCCACGCCATGTGCGTTTTTCCCAGGCTGGCCGAGAATCGAACCCACACTGCAGAGGCTGCCGACAGCTTCACAGCGTGGCACTCAACCTGCTGCACCACAGGGGAGGCCCCCCTTTTTTTTTCAAAGATTTATTTTATTTATACAAGAGATGGGTACAGGTCAGAGGCACAGGAGGGTGGGAGGATTCACCATAGACAGAGTGGGGAGCAGAACAGGTAGTCGGACCAAAAGCACTGCTGAGGGGAGCAGTGGGCGAGACAGGAGAGGTCTGCCACGCCAGGTGGGTTTCTCCCTGGCCAGTTGGAAATCGAACCCGCACTGCAAAGGCTGCAGACAGCTTCTCAGCACTATGCTCAACCCACTGTGCCACCAGAGAGGCCCAGATGATAAGAATGAAACTGAACTAATACAAATCAAGTACTCAAAATAGTAGGTGCTATATCAGAGTTGTTTGTTATTTTTATGTGCAAGGTACTTTTCAGGTTATATGACAGTGTCCTGATCCATTCAGGATGCTGTAACAATAATATAGATTGGAAAGCTTAAACAGCAAACATTTATTTCTTGCAGTTTGAGAAGCTGGGAAGTTCAAGATCATGGTACCCGCAAATTCAGAGTCTGGTGAGTCCCATTACCTGGTTCACAGACAGCTGTCTTCTTGTGTCCTCCCTCACCAGGCAGAGGGGAGAAGGGGGCTCTCCCGGGTATTTCATCAGGGCACTGATCTCATAGATGAGGTTTCTACCATCCTGATCTAATCACCACACAAATACCCCACTTTTAATACCATGGAGTTGGGGGCTAGATGTCAACATATGAATTCAGTCCATAGCAGAGAGGTAGAAAAATGAGTAAGAATTCATTCTTTGAAACATGATAAATGAAGAGCATCTAAGTTTTACAAGGGTACTATTAGTACAATAATAACTAACATATATAAAATAATTATTATATGCCAATCACTGTGCTAGATTTTTAAATGACTGTCTTACTCATAACCACTGCAAGGTAGATACTATTAACCCCATTTTATGTATGTCGAAAATGAGGCTGCAAGACCAACTTTAAGTAATGGGCCCATTACTTATACCCAGTGCTGATCTGAGGATTCATGCTTTTATCCACAACCTGATGCCTCATACAGCATATGTGTCAAGTCTTGACACTGTAAAATTGAGAACCGTAATACACTAAGGTCAACAAAACCTGCCAGTATTTCTCTACTTCCCAAACATTACATTTTTAAATTCCTCATCATAATCTAATAATGTCAGTAAAACAAAGTCCAAACTTACCAAATGTTGCAGTATGATATTAGTCCGTTTGAAGGAATTAAACCTGAAACAAATGTAGACCATAATGAACACAGTAATGTGGACAGTCAAGTTTCAATGTACAAATACTATATTCCCTTTCATGTTGGCTACTTTTTTTTTTTAAGATTTATATATGCATACAAGAACTGGGGTATAAGTCAGAGGTATGGGGGGTGAGAGGATTCACCAGAGACAGAGTGGGCAACACAACAGGCAGACTGACTGAAATACACTGCTGAAGCAGCGAGCAAGACAGGAGAGATCTGCTGTGCCATGTGAGTAGCTCCCTGGCCGGGGATCGAACTCGTGTTGCAGTGACTGCGGACAACTTCATGAATTGGCCTTAACCCCTTGTGCTACCAAGGAGGTCCCATGTTAGTTACTTCTAAAAGGTTTTAGAACAAGCTTTAAAAAAAAAAAAAAAGGTTTAACTCTCATTCACTGTTGGTAGAAACACAAAACAGTAAATCTACTTTGGCAAACAGTTTGGCAGTTTCTTTCAAAACTACACATACTGTTAACCATGTGATTCTGCAATTGTGTTTCATGTTATTTACCCAAATGAGCTGAAAACTTAGATCCATGTGAATTTTATGGTAATTTTATTCCATATTTACCCAATAAGGAATATTGGAATGGCCCCTATTCCAATTTATCATAATTGCCAAAACATGGAAGTAGCCAGTTGGTCAATGTCAATTGGTGAATGGATAAACAAATTGTGGTACATCCACACAAAGGAATGTTACTTAGCTATAAAAGAAATGAGCTATTATTCCACAAAAAACCAAGGATCCTTAAATTCATACTGCTATGTGAAAGAAGCCAATCTGAAAAGGCCACATACTATAGAATACCAAATACAGGACATTCTTAAAAAGGCAAAACCATGGAGACAGTAAAAAGATCAGTGGTTTTGAGGGTGTAAAGGAGAACAGGATGAACAGGTGGAGCACATGATATAATTAGTCATATAAAGGTAGAGGTACGTCATTAAACATTTGTCAAATTTTTCTGCTCAATTTTTCTGTAAATCTAAAACTACATTAAAAAAGTCCACTAATTTAAGAAAAAGTTTAGTTAGGCTGAAATAGGCATTCTTAGATATTGCTGAATGATATATACACACTGGTATTACCTTTTAGTAGTCAATCCAGAAAGAGAATTCCACACCATTAAAATGATCATACCCTTAGACCTAGAAATTCTACGAGTACCTGTCTTGGAAATCTGAAATATGATCCAAGATTGATTTATAACTATGTTCACAACAATTATTTAAATTAGGGAAAAACTGGAAACAGTATTTAACAATGGAGGTTTTTTTTTTTTTTTTTTTTTTTAAAGATTTATTTATTTATTTATTTATACAAGCACTGGGTACAGTCAGAAGAGCGGGAGGGTGAGAGAATTCACCAGAGCCAGAGCGGGGAGCAGAGCAGGCAGAAGGACCGAAGTACACTGCTGAGGGGAGCAGCGGGCGGCAGGAGAGGTCTGCGCGCCATGTGGGACCCTCCTCCGGTGGCCGGGGAGCAGCCGGGGATCGAACTGGCGCCACAGAGGCTGCGGGCAGCTTCGCAACCCAGCACTCAACCGCTGCACCACCGGAGAGGCCCTAACAATGGAGGTTTTTTTAATGTCATCTCTACAAAACCATTACACAGCTAATAAAGTTGTTTAAAAACATTTAAACAATACTGAAATGGAAAGCTCATGACAGAGATTACAAAAAGAAGACAGATTACAAAACACAGTACACTTTTTGTTTGTTGCTTTAAAAATGTGTGGCTGGGACTACAAAGTTTAAGACACAGCTCAGCAAAGTAATTAGAAGCAAAAGGCGTCAAAATGATGGAGGAAGCTGGGAAGGGGCAGGAGGAAATGGAGTGTTAGAAATTGTCTCTACTCAGATAATGGTACCAGGACTGTATATATAAGTAAAAGCTCCTGGAGCTGTAGACTTCAAATAGTTCATTTAGGCACTTTATGGATGTTTTCATTACATAAGTAAAAGCAAGATGGGGAAGAGTAGTAACTGGAAAGGGCATGAGAAAAGGCTACTGGGATACTCTAAACTCCTGCTTCTTGATCTAGATGTCAGTAAAATGGCTATCTTTTGTTTGTGTAAACTCATCAAATTATATCTTTATGCTTTGGGCTTTAAAAAGTTCCCAAAAAGACATTCAGCTTGTCCTTGAGAAACTCAGTGTATTCAGATATATGCATAATAGGGCCTCTCCTGTGGCGCAGCAGGTTGTGCACAGAGCTGTGAAGCTGTCCCCAGCCTCTGCAGCACGGGTTAAATTCTGGACCAGCCAGGGAGATTCCCACACAGCGCAGCAGACCTCTCCTATGCATCCGCTGCTCCCCTCAGCAGTGCTTTCGGTCTGTCTGCCCGCTCCACTCCCCACTGTCTCTGGTGAATCCTCTCACCCTCCTGCACCTCTGGTCTGCACCCCAGCTATTGTATAAATAAAAAAATAAATCTTTAAAATAAAAAAAGGAAAGATGTATAATAGGAACGGTGAAGTTAGACTATATTGGGATACATACCAAACAAGTAATAAATATAAAACAAATGGAGAGTTCAAAGCTAGAATCAAGAGCAGCAACCTCATAAGCAACGTGCACATGTGTACATACATATTTATCTGATGCAACTGACAAATTGTCAGTTTGCAAATTTTTCAAAGGTAATTTGAGAGGTAAGACTTCGGCTAATGCATTTTTTTAAAAAAAAAGGTCATATGACCATTGTTGCCAATTGTAACCACATCTTAGATGACTGAATTTATTTAAAAAAAAACCTTGTAATCCAAATACTTTCCAGAATTTGTAAGTAATTTGTAATTTGTATTACTTTCTATTTATATTACATGCAAATTGAATAATGCTACAAAGGGGAGCTATCACCAATCTAAATTAGTCACACTTCACTTTCCTAGACTAGCACATTTTGAATCTGCTTACCATAATAGTTTCATCTTAATCCAGTGATTCTACGACTTATATGCACAGTTGAATCACCTGGAGATGAAGACATTCAAAGCCCACATTCACCAGCTCAAAGTCCAGGTAACGTCCAAGACCAACTAAATTATAAACTCGAGAGGTGGAACGCAGGCATAGGTATTTTGTGAAGCTCACCAAAAATTCCAAAATATATAATAAGTTGTCATGTCATTAAAATCAATAGTTTTTAAAATTAAACTGAGGTCCTCCCTGGAGGAGCAAGGGGTTAAGTTTCAGCACTATGAAGCTATCCGCGGCCCCTGAAGCCCTAGCTCAATCCCACCTTGATGGCTCAGTTCAATCCCCAGCAAGGGAGCTAACCCACATGGTGCAGCAGACCTCTCCTGTCTCGCCTACTGCTCCCCTCAGCAGCGTATTTCAGTGCATCTGCCTGTTCTGCTCCCCACTGTCTCTGGTGAATCCTCTTACCACCACTACCCCTCCACTGGCCCGCACCTCTGGCCTATACCCCAGCTCTTGTATGCATAAATAAATCTTTAAAAAAATACATAAAATTAAACTGAAGTGGCAGATCCTACAGCATTTAGGGGAATTTTCAAAATGGGATTTGAAAAATTTATACTAACCCTGAAGCACCACTTCTAAAAAATGTTTTAACTTAAATCCATTTTAACTTTTTGGAAGTTTTTTTTTTTTTTTAAGATTTATTTATGCATACAAGAACTGGGGTACAAGCCAAACGTGTGGGGCGGGGGTAAGAGGATTCACCAGAGACAGAGTAGGGAGCAGAACAGGCAGGAGCAACACTGGAGCAGGAACACAGAACAGGAGCAACACTGCTGAGGGGAGCAGAGGGTGAGATAGGAGAGGTCTGCTGCGCCATGTGGGTCACCTGCCTAGCTGGGGTTCACACTCATGCTACAGTGGCTGCAGACAGCTTCACAATGCTGCGACTTAACCCCCTTGTGCCATCAGGAAGGCCCTCATTTTGGGAAGTTTTTTAAGTATCAAAAATTTAAGTGCTAATTTATTTAGCTCTAGAATAATTTAAAATTCCTTAATAAGGCAGTGCTGAATGCAGCTCAATTTTAAAGACAGAGATGCTAGATTGGCAAGACTTAGGTAAATTTAAGTAATGCTTACAGCATAAAGAGTATACTGAAAGACAGGTCTGGCTACAGGTCCCAGTTTTCTTCATGAGACAGAATTTTTACTCAAAGAAATATGGCATAAGTGCAGGTGCAAAGCACTGTGCACTACATTATAGGTCAAAAATCCACAGACCAATTAAAGAGAGAAAACAAACCAAGTACAACTAAATTTCTTGTAAGACTCAATATAACCACCTTGCTTTTGTTTTGCCATGATTCATTCTTAGCTGTTATAAAAGTTAATATGAGATTTTAAATAGCTCAAAAGTGTATGAGCATTCAAAGTCCCTAAGTAATTCTAAATTTGTGGCTTCCCTTTCGTTACCTCTAACACTGCCATCTGGTGGAAGAGACGAGGGCATGCATATCCCAGTTACTGCTTATTTCCTTTAGATGCTGCTCAATTTGGCTACTTGGGACAGCTGTTCTCAAAGTGTGGTTCCCAGACCAGTGATATCAGCAACCCCTGGGCACTTGTTAGAAGTGCAAATTCGTGGCCGACTCCAGACTAATTGAATCAGGGGGATGGGGCCTAGAAGTGTTTAATCCTTCAGGTGATTCTGATACACACTAAAGCTAAAAAAAACAACTATAATAGAAGGGAGAGACCTTTATGGTTTAGGTTTTGTAGTTATCCAATAAAACACAAAGTTAACTTCACAAAACTAGTAATATATTATGAAAATAGTGCTCAATGATTTTTAAGGAAAATAAACAAGGGGAAAAGTGAGCAGAAAACCAAATCAAAGACCAAATAATTCAGGCACAAATTGATGAAGAATACCTGCTTTGAAAACAAAAAGGAATGATTTATTGAGTGGGTATGCAATAAAAAATAAATGGAAGAGATGTTAGGTCAAAAACAACTCCGAGATTTCAAGCCTGAGAATACAGGTGCTGAAAAGGTTGGGAAGGAATCTAACTGGTTTATAGGAACAAATATGGATTCCATTTTGAATTTTTTGCATCTGTTCTGACAGAAGTAGAAATATTCAACAGCTGGTAGAGAAAAGAAACAACTTTGAAAGAAAAGTTAGGACTGAAGACATTTCAGAAGTCACATGCATAGACAAACTCTGAAACCCAAGAAACTCTCAGCTGTCTATGAGAAATAAATGAGAAAAGCTGCAGTTCAAAGCTAATGGCCTGAAGGCTGCCTGGTCTACAAATGTTTTGTTTGATTAGCAGCATTTGAAAACTACAAAAATTTAAAAATCAAAAGATTTCACCTAAAAATGCAGTTTTCCATCTTTTCCAGAAAAATGGGTAGCTATAGAAACTCTGGATCTATATTCTATAATGGCAACAATGTCTTTGGCTGAGAAGTTTCCTCCTTTAAGTAGAGCCCGAATTAGCTCCCTTAGTCCGTTATTAGTCCCCACAGCTGCAATCTATGCAGCATCACTCAATGCTTCCTTTTTAGACTCTACATTTGGCTTTGACTCCTAGCCTAGAAAAAATAAGATTCAAATATCGAATTTTCAGAAATAACTATGTAGAAATTAAAGAAAAAGTGGTAGTCAAAGAAACAAAAAACCAAAACAGTGTTGTTTAGCAGAGTACAGCACATGGAGAAGGGAATTTTAAGGATCAACCTCTTTGAGAATTCCTGTCAGCCCCCACTTCCTTTCTAAATGCCCCTTTCTCATCATTGTATTTTTCTTTAAGATGCTTATCAGAATTAGTAACTAAATATCATTTTTGTTTAAATACTTGTTTCATGTCTGCTCTCCTTTCAGACTTAAGGGCCTTCCCTTACAAAAGAAACAGTAAGAACACCAAGCAGTTCAAGTTGACTGCAGGGTAATACAAGAACCTTGAATAGTACCTCCCAGAAGCTAAAACATAACAGTAAGTATTGCTGGAGAGAAAATTAGGGCCAAGTCTTTGAAACCCAGGTTGAGAAATTTTTATTTACTGCTCATAGGTAGGCCAGCTAATGAGCAGAACAATGACAGACACTGAAATAAATTTTAACAAGATTCATCTGGCAAAGTCTTGTCACGCTGAGAAAAGGCAAGTCTACCAATCAAAAGTTCTGCAGAATGCACAGGTGCTTTGAGTGGTCTATTCAAATTCCAATCAGTAAGAAAAGCTAACAACTATGAGTATGGGTGAATTTAAATAACTTTAGAAATCTAGAAGAAGAATAGTGCCAAGAAGTTGAATATGCAGATAAGGGGTAAGGTCTGTACTTGCATGTAAATTTTTAACTGAGGTGCAAATGAAACATTCAGGTGGTTGTGACTGCCACTAACACTTAGGACAAACCAAGGTTAAATATACAAATGAGAATTACCTTCAGAGAGGGGTGCTTAATTTGGGGACAACAACAATGTCCAAGAGCTAAATTAGCACTAGGGCAAGTTAAGAAGTACTGAGGAGAGGTTGTAGGAAAGCAAGACAAGTCAAGGGTAGCCAGAGTTCAAGAGAGATTGCCCAATCATATCAACCACAGCCTCTTAGAAACATTCTGTGGGACCCTGCACCCTAATACATTTGTGGGGTCGGTTGTAGACAGTGATCTTGACCTCAAGTCTCTGCTTTACTAAAGGATAACCACTCCAGGACTGACGCTGAAAAAGGCCTTCTGACCAAAATCCTAAAACTTACCCAGTACTCACCTAATCAGTCTGCACCTTTAAATACAGGGGGAAATAAAGCCAACCTGAATGCTGCGAGTAACAGATTCTTCCCCAAGTCAGTTAACTTTGTTAATAAACATGACTTCCCCACTTTCTCAAATAATTTGGTTATATGCTCACACCTTCAAAAAAAAAAAAAGCAGCAGGGATTACATGTATTGATTTTCTTACTAAGACCCTCTGTGAGCTGGTTAGAGGCACAGGGACAATTAATTTCAAGATTTTTTTTTTTTTAAACAAAGGATAGCAACTCTTTAATTTCCTTCAAATATCTGAAAGCCCAGTCTGTGGATACAAAGAACTGGACACGTTCCCTTAAAGCAGTTACTATTCTCGACCGAAAGAAACACTCCTATTCCTTTGTTCCAAAACAAGCTCAAGGGAGTAAAGATGCCAGCAATTTAAATTGTGTCGAAGATGGTTCTGGGCACAAGTGGTCACAGCCTTCCTGCTGACCTAAGGGGGCAGGCAGTGGACTTCAAGGCTGATGCAGCCTAACTTCTAAAGTGACTGCTGCCAGATTTCCTCTGCTAAGCTCCAGATGCTGGGCAGCACTTTCGAAAAAGTATTAAACACAGCGTTTGCATGCTCCTCCAAGCCACGTTACGTGTCCGCTGCACTAACCTGCATGCATGATCGCTCCGGGGAGCTGAATTAGGACCCAGGAGCACAGGTGCAGCCCCTGGCCCAGCACGAGCGTTCTCCAGCTGCACAAAACGCCAACCCAATGACTCCAAGTTAAAACCCTGCGTCCTTCCCAAACTGTACGCAACTTCAAAGAAATGGGGGTGGTAAAAGGAAACAAAGAGCAGGTCAAGGCTGAATCCACGTAAGAATGGCAGAAAGCAAAGGGGAAGGTGCTAAAAGGCTAAGGGGGCACGAGGGAGGGCGCCGGCCGAGCTCCAGGCCGGACGGGGTCGGGGCTGAAAGCTGCGCCTCCAGGGGCGCCTCCAAGCCTCGCGCGCAGGCAGTCCCCCCACCCCGACCCCGTTCACCCCTTGGGGAACGCAGCCGACGAGCTCACTCACCTCGACATGAGCCTCCACGCCTCCTGCAGCCCCATTGCCAAAACACCCGCGAGCCTCCAGCCGCCCCGACCCGCAAACCCTATAGCGGCTCTTTGCGCCACACGTCAGACCCGCCCACCGCCGCCGGAGCCGCCGGACATAGATAGCGAGTCCTCCAGGCGGCCAGAGCGGCCCACGGCGGGTTTCCTCCGTTACGCACGCGCAGGGGCGGGGCCAGAACTACAGCTTGAGGAAATAGGTTGAGGGCGGGGACAAAATGGAAGATAAGTCCGGGAGGCGGGCCGGGGGCGGGGTCTGAGCGAAGGCGGAGGGCGAGCAGGGGCTGAGCCGAGGCTGCCCGCGGTTTAGCACATTAGGATTGGGATATTTCCAGTTTTTTGGAAAAGTTACAGGTCCTCCACTTTTCCTAATGAGAATTGTCTCATTAGGAGGTGATATATGTCTTCACCAGCTATATATTGCAAAAAAATTACTGTTATCAGTGAAAGCATAATTGCATCCAGAAAGCAGTTTACTCAAATAAAACCAAGAGGTAACTCATCCACTAGGAGTCGCTGTTAGGTTGATTCAGAAGAATGTTCTTGCGCGTCCAGGTACACCGGCAAGTCCGGGAGCAAACATTTCATCACCCACCGAAGAAATAACAGGTTTATTAAAAAGGAGGAATTCAGTGAAGAATTTCGGAGAAAAGGAAATAAAAGGAGTTAGTCTGGACGCCTCGATATTTAAGGAGATAGTGTGAAGGCTTTGATCAAAAATTACTTTTCTACCATGAGATACCATCTTACACCAGTGAGAATGGCACATATTAAAAAACCTAGCAACAACAAATGTTGGCGAGGGTGTGGAGAAAAAGGAACTCTCCTGCACTGCTGGTGGGAGTGCAAACTGGTCCAACCACTATGGAGAGCTGTGTGGAGATTTCTGGACCTACTAAACATAAAGCTTCCATATGATCCAGCAATTCCACTCCTAGGTATTTACCCAAAGGACACAGAAACATCAATTCCAAAGAACACCTGCATCCCTATGTTTATAGCAGCACTGTTTACAATAGCTAAGCTTTGGAAACAGCCCAAATGCCCAAAAATAGATGACTGGATCAAGAAGATGTGGTACATATACACCATGGAATATTACTCAGCATTCAAAAAAGATAAACACATGCAATTTGCAGCAACATGGATGGCGCTGGAAGGGATCATGCTCAGCGAAATAAGACAGAAAGAAAAAGAAAAATACCGGATGGTCTCACTCATAGCAGGAATCTAGAAAACTTAAATAAGGGACCAGGAAAATGAATAACTATAAGAAAGTGAAAATCAAAATCAACAAAAAACTATGAACCAGAGACACTTTATGGGGGGTGGGGGGCGGGAGGGGAGGGATTGGGGTCAGAATGGGGGGGTTGCAATTGTATGGGGAATATAAAAATAAAATTTATTATTTAAAAAAATAAAATAAAATAGAAAAAAATAAAATAAATATGCCAAAAAAAATACTTTTCTACCCTAAGTCAATATAATCCTCAATATCCACTGACTAGAGGGCAAATTACCAGCATCACAGAAGAAACTCCTGACCTGTGATTGTTTTTGGACATCTCCATTGGACATCGCCAAAAAATAAATGGGTCCTGTTACACAGCCTGGTTTACTAGAAAGATCATAGAATTTCCTGTTAGACAATCCTAGTTACTCAAATCTTTCCTGTTCCCTTATCTTCATGTGAGTACAATATGTGTCATCCAAAGGTCTCATGCTTAAAAGGGCCTATATTTGGTTTAATGTTCTGCTCCTAGTAATTCCTTTAACAAGGAGGGCGGTGGTCTCGGTGTACCACTTTGGCTGTGGCCGACCACAAGATACACAGAACATAGACCACTTGCATAAAGTCCCAGGTTTCTTCCCAGACAAAATAAACGTTGATGCAAATGGAGGCCAACAAGTAAAGGCATAGCTCTACTATTACTCATAAAAAATGTGAAAAATAAACCTTGATCCAAAAACTCTGGAAGATAATGTCAATCTCAATTTATTGATCCCAAATGGGCATGGACATTCTCTCTTATATGGAGCAAGGTGAACAGTATGGAATACTGTGGGACCTATGAACCAGGAACACTTTAGTCTCTTATTTTCTACCTTGAAAGTATATGCAGATTGGTGGACTTTGGGACCTCCCAAGATTTTGGAGATGCCCAAAGTTGAGTAATAAAATATGAATTCTTTCCCTTTCCTCTTGCTCAGTACCCAAAATAAGTTAAACAAACCCTTCTGCAGAGCTGTTAGTAGCATCAAATGCCATAGGATAGCTAACGCATGGAAATAACAGTAACCACTGCCACTGTTCCAATCCAGTCACTCTGGTCCCGAGGAGCTCCATGTGGGCACTCCTGAGAAAACAGACCTGGTAGCCACCACTGAGTTGGCCACAGCACCCTACCCTAGACTATACCCCCATGTGTTCATAGTGTACTAGGTCGTTTTAGGGGACATGACACCTTGGCAATAGTGCTTGTGTACCAGAAAGTATCTGTCCGGTGCCCGGTAGTCTGTTCTCACTTGGCTAAGACTGCCTGTGAGGGCTGGTAACACCAAGAGTTGCCTTCACAGCACTACATTAAAGCTGTCCAACATTTTCAATATTACCCTGTCCTTTTGTGTGCTGTGCTAACCACTGCGTGCACCCAACAACAGAACTAGCCCAAAGTGCATTGTAGCAGTTAATCAAAGGATCACATTGTTAAAATTTGATCTGAAAAACCTTAGAAGTTGAGTCACCTCTGGGTGCCCTTTCTCCTCTGTCTCTCTCTTTGGTTAACTGGAATCTCAAACAGATTTGTGGAATGTTGTTTCTCTCAGTACTCTATCTAGTCACTGAGTGCCTATTATGATCAGGTGCGGTCTAAATGGTAGCCTTAGAGATTGTATGGTGCTATGAAAGTACACAGCAGGGCCATCTTTCATAGTCTAGGATTCAGAGAAGGCTTTTTAGAAATGACTGTTTTTAGATACAGGGTAACTGCACAGGTGGGATGAAACATGTCTTCTGAATTCCAGCAGAGGCACTGGAGCAGTAGGGTGGGATCAGAACACGAAGTGTCTGTGAAGCTATTTTAAAGGTATTTAAGCAGAAATATGGCATAATCACATCTGGCTCTCCACAACCCTTTCTGTATCTTTTCTGCACCTTCACACTAACTGCCTTGCAAGAGGTTCTCACTTGCCTTGGCTTGTCTGATCCCAACTCTACTTCATGACATCATCTCAGAAATATAGCTTTCAAGTAGTTATTTATTCTTCATTTTGTTTTGGTCTCACTTGCTATTTCTCATTTTCAGAGCACAGCAGAGAAATACGATGAGCTTCATTTAACTTTTTTTTTAAAGATTTATTGATTGATTGATTGATTTATACATACATACATACAAGCACTGGGTACAGTCAGAAGCGCGGGAGGGTGAGAGAATTCACCAGAGCCAGAGCAGGGAGCACAGCAGGCAGAAGGACCAAAGTACAATGCTGAGGGGAGCAGCAGGCGGCAGGAGAGGTCTGCGCGCCATGTGGTACCCTCCTCCGGTGGCCAGGGAGCGGGCGGGGAACGAACTAGCGCTGCAGAGGCTGCGGGCATCTTCGCAACCCAGCGCTCAACTGCTGCGCCACCCGGGAGGCCCGAGCTTCATTTAACTTTTTTGAGCTATAATAGGTCCTCTTAGATCAAGAGGCCATAGGATTTAATCAGCAGTTTGGACACTGGGGATATTCATGACAAGACTGTGTGGGTTTGACAAAGAACAGTGGCTTGTTTTTCAGCTGCTATCCATATGCAGAGGATTGCTTCAAGTAACAGCTGACAAAGATGGGAGCATCAATGAACTAGGAAATATTACAAAGATGGTTTCGGTTAGAAAAAATTTGCATATATGTGCACAGAAACATTCTAGAGGAATCAATACCCAAAATGTTAATAGCAGCTATCCATGGGTGGTGGTGGAAACACCCATAACTCACTACTTCTATCTATAGAATCATGTATATTTTCTATTGTTTCTTGAGTATAAGATTTTAAGTGATTTTTAAGGAAATAAAAAATATTATACAAAACCTACTGCATTTTTCTCTATAGGTAATTCCCAAAATACTTTTTGGATGAATTTTTTATTCACTACATGCATTGAGTTTATAGTGAGTTGCCACTAGGTGGTAAACATATTGCATTAAAGATTAAAAGACAACATTTTTTCATATGGTAGTTCATCTACCAGATTCCCTAGAAAATAGTTTTAATACATGACTTGATTTTGATATTTTGCATGCCAAATTATGTCCCTAAAATAAAAGTAAAAATGTATCCATAACCGGGCCTCCCCGGTGGCGCAGCGGTTGAGTGCTGGGTTGCGAAGCTGCCTGCAGCCTCTGCGGCGCCGGTTCGATCCCCGGCTGCTCCCCGGACACTGGAGGAGAGTCCCACATGGCCCGCAGACCTCTCCTGCCGCCTGCTGCTCCCCTCAGCAGTGTACTTCGGTCCTTCTGCCTGCTCTGCTCCCTGCTCTGGCTCTGGTGAATTCTCTCACCCTCCCGCGCTTCTGACTGTACCCAGTGCTTGTATAAACAAAACAAACAAACAAATAAATAAATAAATAAATAAAACATGCCTCTATTAAAAAAAAAAAATTAAAAAAATTTAAAAAAAAAATGTATCCATAACACACAGACAACATAAGATACAATGTTGACATTATGAAGACCGCACTGTATTTTCAGAGAAAGGTAAGCCTTGCTACATTGTAATATTACACTATATATATATTTTTAAATAATAGTATATTTTGTATCTGATTTTTATTTTTTTCTTGTCCTAGAATAACTGCAGCATGGGCCAGAGGTGGAGGAAGAGGAGGGTGAGGAGTCACCAGAGACAGAGCAGGGAGCAGAACAGGTGGATTTACTGAAATACGCTGCTAAGGGAGCAGCAGGGTTGACAGGAGAGGTCTGCTGTGCCTTGGGCTTAGCTCCCTGGCTGGGAATGGAACCCAGGCACTAGAAGTGATAGCACTGACACTTAACCCCTCAGCCACTAAGGAGACCCCACTATTTCTATATATCTAATATGCAATGTTAAATTGCCATACTATAGAGAGATAGTATTGGGCGTGGGTTCCTATGATCTGGCCACTCATGGGCAACTATGACCTATCTGCTTTCTGCAAATCACTGCTTGACTACATATGGACAGTAGCCTATATCGCGAGGCAGGCCTAGGACGCCTTGGCTGTTGTTGACCTGATTATGTGACTATCTTCAGATGGTCTCAGGATAATTCTGCCTGTGATAACATCAACACATATACTTTGCTGGCACAAATGTTTCTTGGCATATGGTAACAATGTCCCCTTCTCTGTTCCTCATAAAACCTTTTTCTAATTAATTTATTTATTTATACAAGAACCAGGGTACAGGCCAGATGCGCGGGAGGGTGAGGATTCACCAGAGACAGAGCGGGGAACAGAACAGGCAGACTGACGAAATACACTGCTGAGGGGAGCAGCGGATGAGGCAGGAGAGGTCTGCTGCACCATGTGGGACCCTCGCAGGCCAGCCGGGATCTACCCATCGCTGCAGAGGCTGCAAACAGCTTCACAGTGCGGCGCTCAACCGCCTGCGCCACCAGGGGAGGCCCTGTTCCTCATAAAACTTTGTCTCCCATTCCAATCCCACTCCCTGGACTTGCACCTCATGCCATTGTCCGATGATCAACTTTTACTAGCCTGTATACTTTCAATAAATGTCACAAGAACTTCTGCTCAAGTAGCAGAGTCTTGCCTTGCAAGCCTGCTCCACAACTTGCATTCCTCATCAAGGTGCTGCCGCAAAGTTCCTGTGGTAACAATGGGGGACCGCAGTTTAGAAACAAGCATTTAAAATTGCTCCTAAAAAATCCCCAAGTGAGTAAATTGAGCCATCCCACCAAATTTGACAAGATGGGCTACAAATTCTGTGATGTCAGCAAGTTTCACAGGGAGCTGCATAATCAGGAAGCTCTTTTGTAATAATTACGTCTTTCAATTCTTCTAGGTTCCTCTAGGATTGTTTGTGTGTATGTATACATAGCAAAAATAGTATGTAAATAGATTAAAATTTGTTTTAGGGTATGCATGTATGTACTACCTTTTGATAAACATTAAATTCTTTAATACTTGTATTTTTTAGGGGAGGGAAAATAAAATAAATGTCAAAATAGTATGTTTTTCCACTCATGCGAAAATTTGAATTCTTTTTAGAGTTGCTTTTATATTGTTCTCTTGTTTGGGTGGTAAAGCTTTCTACTATTCTTTATGCTTTATTTCTTTCCCTCCGGAAGATAAAAAGGTAAGGAAAAAATTATGTAAGTAGTCTGTGCAGCTACTATGCTCAGAAATCCTCCTTTGAGACTCTTACCACCAAATCCTAAATTAAAAAAGAAAAATTATTCATCCCATGAAAAAAGTGGCAAAATCAATTGACATTTTAAAATAATTTCTCTGTAGTGAGGGTTATTGGTACTTTGGTGATAGATATGTGTGATAACATACCTGTACTGTACTCCTAAATCATATATAGTGATGTAAACCAACGTTTCCTCAATAAAAATAAATAAAATTTCTATAATTTAAAAACACAATTTCTATAATTATATATACATTTTAGAAACACAACTTTTGCCAATATTTAGTAGAAAAAAAGCCACATAGAGCAAAAAAGATACTGGAAGCAAGTCAGCAATAATTGGTATATATTTTTAAGATTCTCTGGAAGATTCTTTTTAGATTCAGTGGATAAAGTAGGACACCATTTGCAAAAGAGTTATGGTAAATGATAATTTCAATATTTTTTGTTTTTCGAGTTTAAGTTTTGACTTCAGTGTTAACAAATTAGTGGCAGCTGCAGCAGTACACTAACCTCCTAGAAACTGGAGCATGTGGTGATCACAACCTCTGTACCCACCCAAAAGCTAGGACTATTTAAGGGATAGTGAGCAGGAGACCAATAGTGACAGTGGGGAAGTAAATGGTCACTGGGAATTAACCTTCCTTATCTTTATGTGGGTGTCAGGCAATAGTCTTCATTCAACTCACTGGCCCACACAGAAGTGTCAGCTAACTGCTTTTTGCTATTTCCAAGATAAAATTAAGCTGTAGATGTCAGGTAATATATTTAACTTTTCTACAAATTAAAAAATTCTAAAATGGGAAAAAATTATGTGAGTACAAAACTAACAAGAGACATGATTATGTCCTTCTAAATTTCCCCATGTTTTCTTTCCATTTATAACCTTTTGTTTATGAATACTCAAGATTAATTATAACAAGCAAACATTTTACTGCCAGTATGTTATAGGGCAGGGAGAGGGGCAGCCCAAACCCAACAAGTACATTCTATTAAAAAAAAAAATACTTGTGAAAAGCGTTTAGGATCAAAGATTCAATATGTGAGATGTCATTTTGAAAGCTAAAAATTTTTTAAGCTGTAAAGAAGCAATAGTGAGTCCCTTGTGCACCAATATATTTAATATGTCCCCAGTGTCACCTAAAGAGTGTGGTACTTAATATATTATAGAAGGAAATTACTTGAAGTGAAAACAGTATAATGAGGATAGGAGAGATCTACTTCTTGTCTCTTCTTGCCTTTTCAGTTTCTTGTTGACTTAAGTTTTTACCAGAATGATTTGGCAATAAGAGATGTAGAGGAGATATAATGGGTGTGGTTTGGGAATTTGATTCTATTACACATTTTAAAGAAGGCTCTTAATATTCTCTTTGAATATTTAAGAAATTAAAACTTTCAATTTATAATTCCCCATAAAATTAAGCTCATAATCATACTTATCACATAACATCCAATAGATAGATTATGACATCGCTAACAATTCTAAAAATAAAGCTAAGGAAACTTATTCCAAAGCAAAATACACAAAAGGAAGAAATAATCAGGATGTAAATATTTAAGGTAACAAAATATGCATTAAAATGATTTTACAAAGTAAAGAGTGTTAGGGATAATCCAACAACAACTTGTTTTTAGGGTCTTCCACAGTGTAGCTAAAGTAAACAAGAAATACTTGGGAAAAGTTGAAGAATTGAAG